AATCTGGTCGACGAGGCGTCGCGCTCGCGCGATGGTCGGCCGTCCGTCCGCTCGACTCGCTGGTCACTGACGCGTTGTCGGCCGCACGGTCCGCCCTCGGTTGCGTTTCGACCGTCGGCCGCCGCACGCCGCGCTGTCGAACCCAACGCCGTTGCAGTGCGCCGCCGCAACAACGATAACAACGCGTATTAAACACGGCTTACGCAACCGAACCAACCCCACTCGATACGAGATGACACGCGCGTTTTCGGAACCGTTATGTTCCGCGGGCACGGCACTAGAAATTTCTAGTCGGGGTGGGGGGGGGGGGGGCCAAATATTTTTTTTTACGCGGGCCAAGGTTTTTTCGACAAATCGTTCGAATAAAATATAAAATTATTTCCGTGTAACGTAACAACTGTTATTATTTTCGTGGCATACAATCAAAATTTGACGGAAAAGGAACGATTAACAGTTAACAGATCATAAGTAAATAGGTAAAACGAATGTATACAATTCGGAATCCATCCAAACATTTAAAACACCAAAGTATTTACACGAATCAGTGGCGTAGCCAAGGGGGGGGGGCTAAGGAGGCTATAGCCTCCCTCATGGGCCGCGTTTATATGTATAATGTATCTTGACTATTTAATAGAATCAATGCTCGTTTTAATCAAAGGCTTATTAATGTTATGCCACTTGAAGGACTTATTCCGGCCAATTTAAATATGTATGACGATAAAAATATTATAAAAGCTGCTAAAATATATGTCCAAGATCTCCATGATGATACCTCATCTACAATCAGGGCTGACCTGTTCATATGGAGGCAACAATGGAGTCAAAATATTATTCCAAAACCGAATTCTGCTCTTGATTCACTCTCTCATCGCACCAATCTTTGACCTAACATTAAAATACTTTTACAAATATTCGCCACGTTACCAGTTACCTCTTTCACTCCGGAAAGAACATTTTCAGCACTTAATCGCTTAAAAATTTTTTTAAGAAGCACCATGTCGGAAAGCAGACTGAATGGATTAGCTATGGCTAATATAAATAAAAAAGAGCAATTCCATGAAAGTGAAATAATAACTGAATTTGCCAGAAATTCGCCTAAGAGAATGCAACTGTCAGAGTGGAGCAAGTGACTGAACACTGAAACCAAAATTATTATTATTATTATTATAAATTATATATTAATAAATATTTTTAAAACTATACTAAAATGCTACTACTAAAATGCGTTTAGAAACTTGGTGGTAGATGGTGGTGGGGGGAGTTAAGGGTGAATTCTCATATCCTCTCTTACCTTACTTATCCAAAAAAAGTGGTTAGTCCCCCCCATTTAAAAATCCTGGCTACGCCACTGACACGAATTACACATTTCTAAAAGGTATATTTCTTCTTCGATGTAACCCTTTTAGCAATAATCAGGGGCGGACTGACAGTACTTCGGCCCAGGCGGAGAAAGGTATGACCGGCCCAACATTTTTTCATACAATTGCTGTTCAACTGATGAAAATTTTCATTTTTTTTTTTTATCATACCTCTACATATTTAGTTTTTATTTTAAAAATTTCTAAAATTCATTAAATTCATTAAGTTATAAAATTTTTTTCTAATTTTTTGTACTTCATCAAAAGAATATATTCAGATATTTCTAGAGGCAATGTTGCACTGCGGTGCAAATACGAGTAGAATAACATAAAAATACTTTTTACATTCGAGCACAAAACTAAAATTATGTTATTTTTACAAAACCATGTCTAAATTTTACTATTCAAAAACTTCTTACTTTCTGCTCGTTATGAAAGGATTGACAAACAAATTCCCATGTTAGAGTTTAAAAATGTAATATTAAGTAATTATTAGATTAAAATTTTTCAATAGTTTATTTCAAAACATAATGTAGGTAACTAAATTATTAGAATTTAATTTTTTCAACAAGTGGGATTGAGTTGCAATATAGGCACAACTAATTTCCTAAACAATTTTTTCATAATATGAATAAATAGGTACTATATAGATACATTTAATATGATTTAAGAATTCACAGGTTGTTCATTACTTTCAAATTCATCAACGTTAATAAGCACACTACTTCAACAAGAGGGATTGCGTTCAAATATTAACACAAATATTTTCTAAACAATTTTTTCAGTGTATAAATAAATAGGTATTATATAGGTACATTTAACAATTAAAAGTATTTAATAATAATATGTAAGTATGTAGGTATGCACCTATGTAACTAATTTTAATTATTTATCTATGATTGAATTATGTAAAATCATAGGTAAACTCACTACTTGATCATTATTGAAATGTTCATCTACATATAAATCATTGGTTCTTTAACTATTTCATTTGCATTACTGTTTAAATGGTCCGAAAGAAAATGTTTTATTAAAAATAAAAATAAGTTTTATATTTGAAATTTTTGATAGTAAAATATTTTTTTTCCGGAACAAGTGTACCTACAGTGTACGAATAAAATGATACAACATAAATTGAAAGTTGCTTACTGCATAAACCTGTACCTGTACCAAGGCATAATTTAGTAAATTATCTTAAAAAAAACATTGAGCTTCCTTTAACAGGCAGAGGCACCTTTTGGGTATGTTGTGTGAAGAGGGATAGATGTATTATAACATAATTATTTCTTTAGTAAAACGGTTGTGACTTCTAAGTAAAGCTGAAGTATAAGAAACACCCAGGATTTAAATTTAGGTATTTAGTCAAATTAGTATTAAATAATATAAAAAAAAACAGCCAACATCTTACCTTTATTTTTAAAAAGTTAAGCTTTCGCTGATTTTTATCATTTCCACAACTAAGTAATTCAGCAGCTCATTTTATGCGGTACTTTTCAGCTCCGCCTTTAACTGGTTTTTTAAACATTGAATTCTTAATATTATTAATTTTTATTTTTATTATTTCCTAATAGTTTAATAATAATTTTTAAGTATAAAACAACAAAACAAAAAATATCTGATAATTATGTATGGTGGCTGACGGCCGTATCTACATGATACGTACATATTACGTATTTTTTCGGTTATTAATAGTATTATTTAGTAATACAAAGCCGCTGCCTGCTGATAAACATATCGTTATAAACGTAATTTTAATCTTGGATAATATTTTCTAATGTAATTTTAACCATAAGTCAACATTGTTTACATTTTATATATATATATATATATATTTTCTTACAATAACTTCTGTTGCGTTTGAATTACAATAATACCAAATAATTATTGTCTTTGTCTCA